TCGCAATCGATGGATATGCAGGAGTCGCGCGCGCGCGTTTTCAGAGGACGGAAGAGCGACGCGTCCTCGTTTGGCGAGGACCGACCAGGCGCGCGATAAATATTTACGGATGTACCCACTTCAGTACGGAATCCGGCGCCATTGTACTTTGTAATATTCGCGCGACGGCGCGGGAACGGGTAAACGGATAGGGGAAGGGAAAGCATCGCGGGCGGTCCGTCGCCGCGATTCGGATTCATCGCAGATGTAATTTCCATCGATACATATTTATCGCTCCCGTGCTTCCTCTCGCTACTTGGACAAATCGCGGCGATAATGGGATTACCGGGGTTGCGCCCTGAGCAATACAAAAGGATGCCTACGATGCTCGTTCTCTTTTCCTCCTCGCCTTCCTTCCTTCTCGCTCTCTCTTTTTCTCTCTCTCGCTCTCTCTCCGTATCGTTCACGTGATATTTGCTGTGGATTTTCCATCGAGTGTGCGTCAGTAAGACTCGATTCTCGCGAGTTTGCCAGTTCGAATTAATTTTTATACATATACAGAGTGTGTAACAATTAATGACACACATCCGCAGTTACACTGAAAAAAAAAGTTTGGTAATACTTACCAAATGCGTTTTACCATACCATTTGGTAAATAGTAATCAATATAGTAAATGTTACCAAATGTTTGGTAATAATTACAAAATTGTTAGTAACATTAACTTTTATATAGTAATATTCACTTCTTATATTTAGTTGATACTATTTCACTAAATGTAATAATTATAACACAGGCTGGATAATTATTATCAGAAATTTTTCTCAGTGTAGAATTTATCAAGCTGAACACAAAATTCCTTCAACATTTCACAAACAATTAGATAAAATTTTAATTTATTAACTAAAGAAGAAATTTGATGAGTAATCACGATACGGTAGATGCGATATATACGGTAGATACGGTAAATGAGCTGCGATGACGACGTGTGCCACCATTAGCTTGTACATTAGTTATTTGCAAAATGATTTTTTTGTTCAGTTTGACCTAATGTACAAACACACGACGGCGGATATGTCACCATCACATTGCGTCATCATCATCGTGCGTGATCATTCGCCAATCTTCTTCTTTGATCAACAACTCAAAATTTTATCTCATTTTTTTGCGAAATGGTAGAGGAATTTTGTGTTCAGTTGGATGAATTCTATCTGCACCCGACGTGACTGCACCGGGCGTGTCATTAATTGTCGGACATCCCGCATAGCTTTAATGAAAATAATTTTTAGAAAACAGACGAAGAGGCGATTATTCTCCATGGTAACGTGAAAATAAATTTCGTGCAACGGACGAAAACATGAGACGAGCGTACGTGTGAGTGTGCCTATGTGTGCCCTAATTTCTACTCTCGCGTAGTCCTTAATTGGACTGCTAGCAACATTGATGACGAGGGTCGAGACATTTCATAAGGGTCAGTCGGATAGTTCCATTCATCTCACGGTTTTTGTTGTGAGTGTGTGCAGCATAGCAACACTCGCGCAATATGTCAGTTCTGGCACGCTATAGAAAGATGTCCACGAGTAATCGGATTGGCGGCCGCGTATCGACGATTCAGGTATAATCGGGCTTCACGTGTACATGCACGAGTTTTCGCTGCATCGGCTGGCTCATCGAGTCGGAAATGGCGAGGGCTAGAGAGTGCCAGGAGTTGTTGCATTTAATTAGCTTCGCGGAAGATGTTATCCAATCGTCTCTCGTCGCCACTTCCGCGCGGATAAGCAGCCAAAGCAGCCCGTCCTCGCAGTTGCCGCGAAGTTCGGAAACTTCCCCGGGAACGCCGGCATGCGAACAACCGTATCGCGAAGCTCTTTTGCCAAGAAACCAGACATGATAGTCGCAATTCCGTCGCGCGCGCGAAGGGAACAAACTCGCATAGGAAGACCGACTGACCCGAGATCGCTGGGAGCTCCGGGGTCTCGCTTCTCCTTGTTCCTTGCAACTTCTTTAACACTTCCCGGCTCAACAGTTTCCGACTGGGATCGCGCACAAAGTAAATCGCAAGTAGCGTGTTTTCTTTCGCCCTTCGCCGGCGAACTCGCGCGCGATCGAGTTATCCGACGAATAAATTGCAATTAAAATTTTCATACTAAATGTCTTGTCTTTCGTTCATAAATGTCTTGTCTTTACAATTTGTGAATTTCCGCAATCAAACATTTTAGTTAGCTGGCCCCAAAAGTGGATTGCCTTCAAAGCTATTTTATGTTCGACCTCAATTTTAGTCCGTTAAAGAGACGACATATTTTATACTAGATATCTCATAAAGATGGTGAAAAAGCGGGACTGGCCCGAATAGAAAATGAACCAGAATGTAGTCGACTGGCCAGAAGTTTTGTTTATTGCCTAATATTTGCCCAATATTACCGCTAGATCCTGTTTAATTTACTATGTTTCGAAAGTAACTAGTTTCTAAATAATTATTATTGGTTTCCAATCGACTTTTAGTCACATATATAGGCACGATTCTTATTTTTCTTTATAATTCTTATTTTCTTTTTCACTACCAATACAACGCTCAACATTCCGGTCGCTTTCTGATCTTAATCAATAAGAATTATCTATTTTTACAGAAATTCGTCAAAGTTAATCCCGAATTTCGGTAAAGAATAGCTATTGAAGAAGAATGATTGAAACATTTAGCATTGTATATTAGCCCTTAAAAATATATATTATGCACAACGAACCGCGAAAACATTACATGTTTACGTACTCGCATTTATATAAAAACATAATTTTCTAGCATTTTTTGTATATTATGTTTATATTTCTTTGTATTTTGATGTTTATTATGATAACCATTTATAAAAAAAAAAGAAATAATAAAACCAAGAACAATATCATCAACTTGTCAATTTTATTGCAGTGAGAGTTTAAAAAATATTAGTTAGAATGTTGTCAGTTTTATATAAATAGACATAAACTAGAGATTATTTGCTGATTAGTTTGTTCTCAGTAATATCTGGCAAATTTTTTGTTAGGGTATATGAACTAGTATGTTGCACGTTTTGATTAAACATAATCTAGATACTAGTTACTAGTCTATTTGGCCTGATTAGTTTCTGGCTAATTTAAAAAATTCCTTTTTAACAATCATCTGTTAAGAATTTAAATTACCTATTTTAGTTACTATATAGTATATACTATATACTACATACTAGTCAACTATATGCTGGTCAACAATTAACCAGTTTTATCTCAATGACTTTCTTAGTCAATTGTCTAACAGTTACTAGTAAAGCCTAAATAATAAAATCCGACTAGTTTCTGACATACTTCTCCTCGGACATTTCTTTACTCGGGGAATTTTTTTCTTCTACATTTTTTTCTTCTACGCGATATGATTATCAATGGGAAGCTATAAGACCGAATCTTACTTGAGATCGTGAACAGCCAAATCTCTCACTTCGAGGGACGTAAAACGTTCATAACTCGGGCGCACATTTGGCAGTCGAGCTTCGATAGAGTAAAGCATGTTATTGAGTTTATAAAGGGAACAAATGTCCAAAAGAGGCAGAGGGAAGGATAGAAGGAAGTAGTGCGCGATCATGCATCCTGAACGTTTCCCTCCATCAAGTTTCTATTTCCGGCACTTTTCGTCTCTCTATCTCTCTCGCTCTCTCTCTAGTAGGATTGTTGAATCATAAATTTTTCCCTTGTAGAACCACGCGATCCTATGTCAAAAATGTAGGATCTTTTATCATTGAAACCGATATAAAATAACGCGATTTCCGCGTAATTTAACGGAACAAACGTAACGGAGTTCGCGGGCGCAACGCGCAACGGCTCGACTGCAACTCGCGCGAAAACAATCGGAAAATGTGGGGGTATTGAATTATACGAGAAAGGCCAATGAGAGCTACGCGTTGGAAGGAAGTACGCAAAACAACTGTAAATATATTTTGTAAGAAAATAATAATATGTGTTGGAGAGATGATAGTTATCGTTACGTCGAATTTATACAGTAAATATTAATAATCGTTGAATCTCATGTGTTAATCATAAATATTAATAAACCAAAGTAGAAATTAATTTATCCAGTTTCTGACTAGTAATTGTCCAGGAATTTTTGATAATTAGCTAGTTTTTAGCCAGTTTTCTTGTCTAGAAACTGATTGGTTTGGTCGACGCTCATTTCGTCAAAAACTGGACAATTGAACTAGACAGTTTCAGATCAGTTTTTAAGTAGATTTTGATCAATATCGAATCTGTTTATTAGCAGTTTCTAAGCAGTTTTTTACTAGTTTTTATGTAATTTTTGACTATTTTATAAGCATTTTTTTATCGGTTTCTGATCAGTATCTATTTTTTAAATGGAAATTATCATCCAACATATATTATATTCTTCCAACGCGTGACTCTCATTGACCTTTCTCGTATAATTTGATTTTTTTAATCTCACAGCTCTACTCAACTTATTTGCGGGGGTATTGATTGTTAAATTTATTTGAAGATTGCGTCCTTTTATCTATCACGGTAAATCAGCGCTCCTGTTTTTAACTTCATACTTTCATTTGTAATTTTTAACCTCCCAACATCGATGTTGAAAAGTAAACTTTTATCGATATAGATATTTTATCAAAGATATTTCTTATGCGGAAAATGTATTATAAGCACGCTCTTTTTATCGTTTAAGCATTTTAATAGCTCTGGTAGAAATACACGCGTAAGCATTTGCTCGTTTATTGTCTGGTGCATTCTCATTAGTTATAAGAATAAAATGCTCTGTTCTTACTCAACAAGCAGTTCAGATTTGCGTATCTTTTGTATGCAGTAACTGCGGGAGAAGCGTTACATCTTGATTGAGACCCTAAGTAATTTTATTCCTCAGCCACCGAACAAAAGTTAATATAACTCTTCGAAAAGTGCATTAAATTTCTACCAGGGAAATAGTCGAACGATCATCGCGGAAGAGCGATGCAATTTATCTTGTGATAAATGGCATTGCTCGAAGGAAACGCCGACTCACTTGATTCATGTACGATCTGACGAACTCCATACTCTGGTCCAAGGCGTAAGTGTCGCTGCTGCAGGAGTCGAGGATGAGGGCGCCCAGCGTTGTGTTCGGCAGGAGTTCCGTATCAGCATTAATCTCGTCCAGTACGTACAACATGGCCTCCAATCGTTGCATGCCCTTCTCCTCCTTGACGGCCCCGCACGGTGATTGACCGATGGAGCTTGCGACCTAGATAAATAAATGCATGTCGGTTAATATTTAGAGTTCCGCGCTCTCTTTTTTACTGACGTCAATAGCACCGTATATCACGTAGTTACAGGAGAAGACTTCCTCAGACATGGAAAAAGCCCCGCTAGAGACAGAAACAATCGGACGTTTCGCGCGCGCTGTGCAATTGCGAGTGTCAAAGAGCGAGGATTCGCGCTCAATTCGCGCCAGTCGCAAGGAGAAAGACGAATAATTTGCCTCTCTGTCTGCTGCGCGTGTTATCTCTTGAACAACGTGCATAATACACGAGCGATCTATATATATCAAAGCAATACGCTCCCGTATAGGAAAATTAACGCGATCCGAAGTTCCCGGAGAAACAATGCCGTCCGTCCCGGTATTATCTTCAGGAGCGACGGCGCAAAGGCTGAAGGCGAAACGTTCAATTTCGACGGATTAATGTTGTGCTTTTCCCCGTTCTCTCGCGTAACGTCTCGGTTACAATGCGGCGCATGTAACACAGGCTACGGCCGTTCCTTCGTGGGGCCGAAAGGGATCAAATTAGAACTTCGACCCCACGTCGAACCCTCTCGAACGTTCCGCGCGGCTCGACTGTTGACGTCGAGTTCAAGGAGCACGAGAGAGGAAAGTTATGGATACAGCACAATACTGTGTAAATCCGCGTGGCGATGTTCCGCGCGGCCCTATAGAGGGATACCGTCAACCCGAAAAATACACAGTTCGACCAAACACGCTCGTAAATCCCGGCGACAAGCGCGCGCAAGCCCCCGCCGTTGATTTTAATGTTTGCGAAATCAGACAGAGCCCGGTCGGTCGTCGGGAACGCTGACCATTCGTTGCCGAGGAGATCACGGAGCTCCCTAGGAACGAGAGAGGCTTTTAATTTCGACAACCTCGAACCTGTTTTGATCAAAACAAGGGTACGCGGACGGGAGGAAAAACGAGGCAATCGCTGTGCATCTCACCCGCGAGACTCAACGTTTAATTCGCCGAGTGGAAAAGGTCCTGACCAGTAACCAAGCCAGGAATTCTGGTTACAGTAATGCTGGTTACTGTAATACAGTTTGGACGATTCTTTCTTCACCAGTAACTAGACAATAAAACTAATTGATTTCTAACTAGTTTCTGACTACTTTCTCATCTGTTCCAATAACAAATTTCTTTTCGTAAAAATTTCGTCAAATAGTTTTTTTCGTTCAATCCCACATTGTAAAATATTATACACTTTATTGTTTAATAAACATAAAATAAATAATGTGATAAAATAACAAATTAAAATAACGTGAAATATGTGTTTCAGAAGATAAAATCTTTTCACGTAGAAACTCTTATTTATTATTCAGATATCTTATTTGTAATTATTTTTTCTTGCCTAGTTTTTATACAGTATCTCATCAAGAAATTGATTTCTAAGTTTTCTCTAAAAAAACAGAAACTACCTAGCCAAACCATTTACCTTTACAAACCATTTTTCATTGCCTAGTTTCTGTCCAATAACTACCTAAGAAACATTGGCCAGTATTTTCCGAATTTTTACGCAAGTAATACACGAAAGTAATAACGAAAATATCTAAACATTTTTTATTGCTTATTTTCTGACTAGTAACTAACTAAGAAACACTAATCAGTATTTTTTAAGTTTGCACTGGACAAAAACTGCCTAATATTTGCTTGCCATTTTATATCGCTTAATTTCTGGCTAATAACTAATCAAGAAACATTGGCTAGTATTTTATAAGTTTGTACTGAACAAAAACTGCTCAGTATTTACTAACCATTCCATTTTTCATTACTAGCCAGTATTTTTCGAGTTTTTACGAGACGAAAACTGCTCAACATTTACTAACCACTTTTTATTGCTTTTTGGCCAATGAAACACTGGACAGTATTTTTTGATTCTTTACTAGATAAAAACTGCTCAATATTTATTTACCACTTTTTATTATTTAGTTTCCGGTCAATAACTAGTCAAGAACTAACAGCCAGTATTTTTTGAGTTTGTACGCAGAAACTGTCCAGCATTTACTTCTTTTTGTCAAGTTTCTGATTGCCCGAGAAATACTGACCAGTTTTTCATTATGCGTTTTGACTCCTCTTCTTGTTCACATATTCATATTTCCAGAACCTTGAATACGCGATTCGTCATTAATATTACCTATCAATACTGCAATTTGCTCATTCATTTATTATAAACAATATTTGTAATTACGATATGTAACAATGGTGCATCGATAACCGTTCGCAGGTGTTTGTGTGTTTGAATGTTGCATGTCGGTAACTACGTCATCGCAGTCGACGGGACTCGGCGTCGACAAGATAATATCGGCGGAAAACAAACATCGGCGAAATATTCGTGAGTAATTCCAGTGTGACTCCGTTCGCGCCCGTCGTCCTCGCGAAAACGGAAAACCGATGTTAACGTAGTTACCGGAAGAGTCGCAGCGTCGCTGCCTCCGTCGAAACTCATCCGGAAAAACTAATCACCCGTAAGAATGGGTCGCCCGTTACTCAACAGTCACTACATCGCGCGACAAGAACAACCGACAGACGAGGAAAGTTGTCCGTCTCGGCGGAAGTTCGGTGAACGGCGGTTATTTTGCACAAACTACTGGTGCGACAACGATAAATCAGCCTGAAGTTTTCGATATTATTCTACCTATAGCAGCTCGGGACGACATTTCACAGGCGTGTTTACCTCGCACTTTGCGCAACGATCGCAGCAACGACAGTACTCGCATCCGACGTAAGAGAAAGAATCCGAGCAAAATCCGAATGTGACGGTAACGAAGTTTTTTTCGCGACAAAGTTTCGAGGGAGTAAAGCACCAACGCCTGGACACCGACAATATTGATATCTAATTCTGGACATTCTTATTGTTTTCGTATTCAAATACCGGGGCTATATGGCCTCAGGGATATGTTGCTTTTTTTAATATTTATCTTGAGAGAAATAATGAATACAAAATCGTGAAATGGTCCGTTTAAAATATAAACTTACTTGAGCTTCATTAAAATACTGTTACCTGAGTTTCATTAAAATCGGAATAATACTGCAGTTAAAAAATAGAAAAAAATCGATTTACTGAGAGCAAAGTAAATTTTAGTATATTTAAGTATATTTTAGTTATTATAAAACAAAATATACAGGTTTGTGACGAGCATTAATACATAGAAGAAAGTTGCCTCCATACAGTCAGTCATAACAATTTGTCGTCAGAAAAGTTGTAACTTCGAAATTCTAAAGTATAGGGCATCTAGCTCCAGTCTTCCCTATTTCAACTTTTAATGTAGAATATATGAGTACAAGATATTTCAGTAAACGTGGACAATCTCTTAAGAACATATAGATTAAATGAAAATAATCTCATAAGTTCACATAAATTGTTCTCCTGTAGCTTCACCCTTGCTAAGATATTCAAGACACTAAAATTAAAATCTAAAACACATTTTCTAGAAATGAGATTTATATTGCTTTTTTAGCGGATTTTTTAATGATCTTTATAATATAATTCTAATTCAACATAACATATATACTATATCGAAATTTTAAATATTTGTATTTGAAGACAAAAGCAATATGAATGTTCATAACTGCGTACCAGTGTTATTAATGTCCAAGCATTGGTACTTTTACATTACACGCAAAGCGATTGGTGCACAATCATGTTTCAAAATCGCGGTTCCCTTCGGAACACGGGAAAAACGCGACCGTTACATCGCGAGATCGACAGACGCGCGTTTAAATTTCATTTCAAGGGATTTAATCAACGAGATATTTCGCGTGCATCGAAAATTAAATCACGGGATTTCGCCGCTCCACGTTCGTCATATTTTCATACGTGTATTCTTTCTGACGTATATACTGATCGAGATATTTCCTTTCGTGAAAAATACTAAATGAAAATTTGGAAAATTCTGTCCACAAAAAAATCCCGTATACACCGCGTCGAAATGCGTTAGTAAAAATGATGGCGCACTGTACCAGATTACAGTGACTCTGTTATTTTTTAATTATTCAAAATAAATATGTGACCTTTGGCGCGTGCGCGTACACGCGTATGAGCGCATCTTCAAACTCTGCAGTACTGCGTCAAATTTTCCATGGAGGAAAATTCGCGAAAATCAATTTTTGATGGATAAAAATACGGAAGTCTTCTCAATCGAAATTTAATTTTTACAATCGCAGTATCGCTCGCTGCTCTCGTGTGTCGCCGCCCTTCCGTTTCAATATGTGCTTTTTCAGTGGAATATCCCCACGACGATGCAACACTCGATATGTACACGGCACTTAGATGAGGTTTCGATGTTTCGCTATACCCCATCTGCGAACCGCGCACCGGCGTGACGTCAAAGCCAGAGACCCAAGGCTTGTTACGTCAAACTTGTGCATGTGTGTGTTGTATAACACACATGCCGGACAATTTCGAATACTGGGTTATTTCTCGCGTGCGAGCGCAATAAAGTATCTCTGTTGCCATATATCGAATTGTAAATATTAAATACATATGCAATCGAGCGACATTTGCCTAAATAAATAAAAATTGTTTTGACAAAAATATGCCGCCTTCAAAAACCTTCAAAGTCGAAAAATGTATGAGTTAATTTCGATTTCATATTTCTATATATCTACAATTCTATCTTAATATTATGATATTCGAAGTTGCCGCGAAAAAGACAAATTAAGTGCACAAGACAGTGCACAACTTTTTGGGGGAAATTTTACTGAAAATCTATAACTCACGTTACATATACTACAGATTTTCAGTAAAATGTTTTCCAAAAAGGGCATTTTGAAATGTGACCTAGTTGTAGGTAATCAATTTTCAGGTGGTATGGGCAAAACGGGACGATACAACGAATCTAAGAATTATACAGATATCATGCTAAAGTAGTTATATAAAATTTCATCTAAATATCTCTAATAGTTCTCGAGCTATAAGAGAATACACAAATAAATAAACGTTCATACAAGACGAATTGAGAATCAGCTCGACAAAAATAAACCGCTTAAAGCAATCTCAACATCGCTAAAAAGTCAGGATGGGTACATTGATTCGCTTTGAATTAGAGAGAAAGAAAGAGAGAGAGAGAGAGAGAGAGAGAGAGAGAGAGAGAAAGAGAAAAAGAGATTTCGTGCTACTTTAACCCGAGTAGGAATTTATCCAATTTCTGACTAGTAACTGGATCCAGGAATTTTTGGTAACTAGCTAGTTTTTAGTCAATTTTCTTGGCTAGAAATAATAAAACAAAATATGATATATTCTATAATGTAGAATAATCATATTTTGTTTTATTATTTATTATCTTCCTATGATATCGTTAGAATATTAAGAGAGATTTATAGGTATATTTAATAATTATATCACTTTTTAGCGATGTTGAGATCCTTTCCTTTAAGCGGTTTATTTTTGTCAAAAAAGTTTTTTTTCGTACTTTTTAATTATTTATTAAAAATCTGTTTTTCTAAGTTGGTTAAAAAAAGTTGCTCATAGTCAAAACTAAAAGCTTCGTCTTGTATCTCTAGATGTTCTCGGATTTTTAAGAAAGTAATAAATTTACAATTTTGCAGGTCAATCATTTGAGATCTGAACCATATTTGACTAATTTAGCCAGATTTGAAATATTTTGGTTGGAATTTTGGCTAAAGAAATGTAGAATGGTTCGTGTCTTAGCTATGCCGATTTTGTTAAAATTATTTAACTATATCTTGTATTTAATTTTATTTCTTATGCATTTTTGTTGTACTTGTTGATGACAGGAGTAAGAACATTAAAAAGTTATAAATTGCCCGTGAAACTCAAAGTGGGCCAAAATGAAAATATAACTCAAATATTTTTTGTATTTCTACATTTGTGCCAAATTAGAAAGAAATCGGAGTCTAACTTTTGGGTAGGTTTACTTGTAAGAATTATATAGATGCTGAAAAAGGTACGAAAACATTTGATCTCTTCAACGATTTCTGAGTTATATGGGGCAATATAAACAAACAAACATACAGGACAAACTGAGAACCTTTTCTTTTAAGTCAGTTCAAAATCACGATTAAACGACATATGTTATTACGTAACCTAATAATACTTATTGACCCATTTCACTTTGTCTACTGTTATTTCTGTATTGGAAATACGATTTTTCCTAAAAAAGATATATATTGCTGTGTACGGCGATTGCTCGATCAGTTACCGGACACCCTGTATATGTGTACGTTTTACATTCTCCCATACACAATGGAATCTCTATGGACAATAAAGCGATTTTAATTAAGAGGCGGCGGTTATGTCGTAACAATAACGTCATCCGTTTGTTGCAAATTGCAAATTGCGAAATTCATACGGAAAAAGAGAAACAAGATACAGATAGGTAGAAATAGAAATACAAAGAGAAAGAAAGAAAGAGAGAGAGAGAAAGAGAGATAAAGAGAGAACGACAAGATAAAATTCAATACACACAATTTCCGTTAATTGAAAACTCGACTAATTGTACTTGTAAATACTAGCGCGCAACTCGTCACGATCGTTTCAACAAACGTCGTAAGGATCGAAGGGGTTTATTTGTAACAAGTGTAAATGTGAAAATGTGCTTTTGCTCATAATTCGCTAATTGACATACACCTTTCGATCCCCTTTGCACTTTCGCATCCATTACAAAAGGCTTTCGTCGTCAATCATGATTAATGGACGCGATTTGACAAGAGTAACAAACGTAAGTGTTTATTTGTTTGCTAATGACGTTGCATCTTTGCTCAGGATATTCGTTATTTCCAAGTGGACGGGCTCGAAAGACGAGAACATGGTCTTGCAAGGCAATTTGAGATGAAAGAGCGTGGGATATAGAGAGGTGCGGGTGTAGTTTCGCGGATACGAGTGCAGTGCGCGCACCAGTCAGGATATGCATTGATTCGCTTAGAATCAGAGAGAGAGAGAGAGAGAGAGAGAGAGAGAGAGATTTCGTACTTTAATACACAGGAAATAAAATGCAAACTTCGCGCACACATATTCAATGTTATCCACAGAAAGATTGACGACAAAATGATACTCTTTACTAGTTTTACTTTACTAAGCTTATTAAAAATTTCTTTACTAATTCTACTTTACTAAAAATTATGTTTTCGTCATTTTATAATATGTACAATACAAAATATATTTACAGTTAAAGTAGTATATAAGTAAGACAGACGACTTTCAAGAACCAAAAGTCCTCGAGTCTGATTTCGTTTGTGACGAGTAAATTTTCCAAATATATAAATTAAATCGACTATATAATTAAAAGGAAGAACATATAATTAAAAAGTTTTCATCAAACTCATTGACAACATCTTAAAAACAACGCAAATTAAAAGAAAAATAAAATATTTTTTTCACTGTAAAAATACTTTTTAGTGTTACATTTCACATTATAAATATATCAATTTCACGTAAATTTGCTTCAAAGATGATATCGGTGTTAACCTTTTTATATTAATTTCACGTAATATATGTGTTACTTTTTTAAATACTCGCTTTGTGTTAAATTGAGCAAAGATTTGAATAGACTTTCGTAAGACATGTAAAATATGTTGAATTTAACACAAAATCTCTTTTCCTATGTATAAGCAAGTGTAACGTGAGAGAGGAAGAGGAAGGCGTACATCTGCACCCAGATATCGTCGTATGCGTGCGTTACTTGCGCGTACTCGTGCAGTTAATCAAAGGACGAGTGCGCGGATTTACTCGTCGCGACGTCGCGCTCTGCGTGAGAAAATAAGAACACGACTTGTGTCGTGACGGGAGTTACCTGCTCGTGCATCGGAAATATTCCGCCGAGGATAATGTCACCATCGATACGTATCAACTTCGAGCCGTCTTCGCCTCTGCCCTTCTTCACGTTGTAACACTCGCTCGTGATCAGGAAGCACCATATCCACAGCAGGATCCCGCGCAAGCTCATCTTGACCATCGAGATTGATGTGTCCAGCGACTCGCGGTTGACACCTCGCTGGAACATCGAGTAAAACACGCACGTCATCACGCGAGCTGCACGAATTTACATGTCGGCAATTTATGATCATGCAACTTTCTTTCTCACGTGTTCATGCGCGAGGACGCAATCAAGTCGTGAATTCTTCTATAACCCGACCACATGAAACTAACATGAGGACGCTGGAAACATCGACGCTGGAATATTAAATTAACGTGCCCGGCATTGCGTTCCATTTTTCCGAGGAAAACAAGGTCGAATGTTAGCGCGACCCCGCTTCACCCCGATCGAAGAGAACAAATTGTCTGTACGGTGCACATAAATTTGTCCGCAATGATTAAATTCTTCTCGCTTCTCTTACGATTTGATTTATTAGCGTTGAAGTAAGGCAGTAAGGCGTGTAAAGATCGATTCCTGCGTAAGGAATGCTTTGTATCGAAAGTTTCAATATCCGACGAGCGATGTTATATATAATCTTTTGCTTGTCCATTGAAAATATGACTTCATGGCGAAGGCGAGTAGATCGCGCACGGTATATCGTATTCAAACTGTAGACGCATAAATATATCACACTTGATATATTCACTGTGTCTGTCTTTATTCCGAGAGCTGCCGTGCAAGTGACGAGCCAGCTGTGAAATACTGACTTTTTCTTATACGTCGAATTTCATCATAAATCCTTTTTCTTAGACACATTCACTATCTCTTTTGTTTTCTCAATTATTCTTTATAAAAAAAGCATTTTGTGCTCCTTCTCTTCTTATATACTAATTTAATCAAAGATGTTAAAGTAGGAGAAACTGTGGCTAGATGCCTTGTATTTTACAATTCCAAAATTACAACCTTCTCAGGTAACTAACTATTGTGACTGACCATAAACATGATAAAGACAATCTTCTTCTATATTTTAATGCCCCCCACAATCCTATTAATTTTATATTTTGTTTTGCAATAAACAAAAAGTATTTATATTTTAAAAGGATTATTTCGCGATTTTATACTATTCTTCTCAAAATAAATACTAAAAAAGCACAGAAGCAACATATCCCTGAGATCATATAGACTTAGTCTTCCTTACACAGGATAGAGTAACAAATATCCAACTCAAATTTCTCCGCTATTGCAAACAGTGTAAGAAAGTAGTACCTACAAAAACTTTATAGTTTCAAAAGAAACGTAATGCAATGATAATAATTCTTTTGTGAGTTGAAGTAGAAGATTATAAAATCAAAACTTTTAAACAGAATCATGTGGTGTGCTCTTTTAACAGAAATTAGTTCCTTTGATCGTTCTAATTCATTTATATAAAAATACTGAGGTAAGATCATCGAAAAAAAATATCTTTTGCGATGTTTTTCATCTTATTCTAGTATAGTATAGTTTTCAATAGAAGATATGAAATATCCCGCAAAATATTCGCTTTCCGATAATTTCATCTTAATATTTTTGCGCATACATGGGACAAAATTTTGTTTGGATTAGATAAATTTAAAGTTATCAGAATTGTATTTAAGTTAACAAGATTTTGTTCGAATTAAGCAAACTTAAAGTTATCAGAATTTTATTCAAGTTAACAAAATTTCTTAACACGAACAAAATTCTGGTATTATCAACTGGAATTTTCTGATTTGTTTATATTTCTCTTGAAATTGGCTAATCCAACTAATGCTTTTTTCCGTGTAAAATGACGAATGAAGTCAATTGTTATAAAAGAAATATATTGAGAAACCTTAAACAAAGTTCCATTGTACTTTACAGATTCATTGATGCATCAGTGTGCACAGATTATTGTCACCGGTTGATTTCTCTCATTATTCTATGAACAAAGATATTTTTACGTGAAATTTGACGAAAAGTTAATAATTTACGAGATACTTTATATGTTGTACTGCAAAGTATTGGAATAAAATAAAAATAAATCTAATCTCTTTTGTACGCAGAATGATCGGAGGATTTCATTTGCGTTAGAAAATCTATATACAAATCCACTAAAGAAATTTAAAGCGACTTTGAAATCTGTATATCTCCACTTACAGAAAAATCATTATTACTATGCCACGTCTTTTTAGGAATTATAAAACTCTTGTAAGCACCACTAAAGAACTTTAAAGTTCTTTAAATTCCACTAAAGAAATTTAAAGCGACTTTGAAATCTGCATATCTCCACTTATAGAAAAATCATTATTACTATGTCACGTCTCCTTAGGAATTATAAAACTCTTGTAAGCACCACTAAAGAACTTTAAAGTTCTTTAAATTCCATTAATGAAATTTAAAGCGACTTTGAAATCTGCATATCTCCACTTATAGAAAAATCATTATTACTATGCCACGTCTCCTTAGGAATTTTTTTTTTTTTTTTTTTTTTTTTAAAA